TACAGCAGTTCATACACATTTTGTCTCATGACACTGACTACAATCCCCATAGTGTAACAGCTCTCTTCCCACTTCCTCCCCGTAGGTACCGCTTCCCTGTGTCCTTTCCTATGCATTCCTGCTTTCTCCTTGTGCATACACTGTCCTTCTGTTCTCCCATGATTGATCACTCCAAGGAGTGTATCTACCTGATGTAAATGTTCACCCCATATACCTGTCTGTTGTTTGGCTGGAAGCCACAGGAGTGAGTTCCATTTCAGACCTGAAGGGTGACCAGGGATCATGGTCTCGGGGGTCTCACCAAAGGAAGCTGTCCCTTCTAGTGATGTTCTTGCTCTGTGGCCAGTCCTGGCTTGTGGCTCAGCCAGCTGTCCACCGAGCTTCCCCTTTGCTGGAGAAAAGCTCTGTGCCCTTGTTCACTTCCATCAGGGAGGCAGCCCCTCGCCCCAGGCACAGGGCTGCTCTGGGTGGAAGCAGGGCTGCCATGCAGGTAGACCGGATGAACCACAGTTTCTCTCAGGACCAAGCAGAGCCTTCCCCCTCCTTTCCGGGGCCTGTCCTGTAAGAGTCACAGCAAGTTGCAGACTGGCACAGAGTATGCCCTTCACCAGGGCATGGACCCGAAACCAAACCAGTGCCACTGCCATCGAGTCAGTTCCAAGCCGTAAGGCCCCCATTGGCCTTCCAAGGCTGTCATCTTTACAGAAGTAGATGCCTCACCTTCCTTCCACTGAGCGGCTGATGCATTTGAACTGCCACTGGAGCGCCTAGTAAAGGGTGGACGGGGTGGCGATGCTTCCTCATGCCACGCTTGTTCATGTGTATTCACACGTGTGCATGTGTGTTCTGTGATGTTTTACCACATGTAGAACAGAGCTACCACCCCAGTGAGCTGACAGAGCTGTCCCATCACCACAAAGGAGCACTGTCCGCCTACCCTGTCATGAGCATGGGCCCCCAGCCTGAGCCCTGGTGACCGCTGGCCTGGTCTCCACTCTATGATCCCATTACTTTGTGAGTTGTGTGTGGTGGGATGTTACGTTTTCAGATTGGCTATTTTCCCTCGGCCTGATGCCTGGTGATCCACCCTCCTGCCTGTGGCAGCTGTACCCGTGCCTGCCTTGGGCTGAGTAGCTGGTCTTCAGGGCCATGGGTTGCTTGTGTCTGTGACCTTTCTGGACTCACGTTTATAATTTCGCCAAACAGTTGGTTTGGCTGCAGCCTGCCCTGTGATTGGTATGTTTCACACACCTTTCAGGGATTGGGCAGTCTGTTACGCAAATAGGGTGCATAAAACCACCCAGTAGGTTTGAGTGACTTGCTGATACAGTAAATCCTGTGAAAGCTAGAACCTATGGAAGGAAACCTGCCAGAGAAGGAAAACTCAACTCTTTTCCCCTAAAACAAGTGATAGAAACTTGGTTAAACAGCACCCTGATTCAGAATGGCCAATACCAGTCCAGTTCAGCTCACTAATGCCTAGGATATTGATCTTTATGCATTCCATTTCATTGTTGACAACTTCTAGTTTTCCTGTATTTGTACTTCGTCCATTCCATGTCCCAATTATTAATGGATGGTTGCAGCCATTTCTTCTCATTTTGAGTCATGCCCTGTCAGCAAGTGAAGGTCCCGAAAGCTTTATTCCATCCGCATTGTTAAGGTAGGCTCGGCTTTGAGAAGGTGCCTCTTCTGACCTGAGGGCTCATCCTCTGGCGCTGTATCAGGGCCCTGCTGCTGCCCGTAAGGATCTCACTGGCTAATTTTTGTCTGTTTTTTTGGAAGCGGATCTCGAGATTCTTTCCACTCCTAGTCTGGAAGCTCCCCTGAAACCTGCTGGTGTCTGAGATACTCCTGCCCAGAGCCACCCTCCGTATGCACTCACCATATTCCTAGCAGTCTTTTGAGTGGTTTGCCTATAACAGTATTTAATTCTTGCTCCAGTGTGTGAAGAACCCTCATGGCCCAATGGCTAGGCACTTGGCTGCTAACTGAAAGGTGGGTGGTTCAAACCCACCAACCACTCTGTGGGAGAAAAGATTTAATCTGCTCCTGTAAAGATTACAGCCTAGGAAACCCTGTGGGCAGTTCTTCTCTGTCCTTCAGAGTCGCCTGAGTCAGAATTGACTCGAGGGCACACAGCAACAACCAGGGTGAGGGTGGGTGTTACCAAGTCAGGGGAAGGGGGAGGGATGTAATGTCACTTGTACCAGAGACATGGTGTTCATGTAAAACCTTCCTTAAAAACTAGTTAGTATCAGGAGGAAAAAAGAAAGGAGGAAACCAC